TTTTGTGTAGAAAAAGACCCTCTGGGCGTGTGCCTGGATATGACCTCAACTTCTTTATTGTGTCAAAAGTGAGGGGTGGGCGTTTGCCCAGGCATGGGTTCTTACCCGGATAAGTACGGTACACTAGGAGACATGGTACATCTGATAAAGCATGATGTTGGTGCTCTGTTGCATTGTGGGTATTTGATTCATCGTACCGGTACTCAATATCTGTGGAACCTAGATTGTATTCTGATGTGATCCACACTAATTGTTGATCAATCAACATATTTAAAGAGCTCCTTATTCCACTTAGATTCAAATTTGTCCCAAATCTCATGAATTTATTCTATAATAAAAAAAATGATTATTGAAATAATATCAGAGGTACATTACTAGGGGTTTGCAACGTGCATAGTACTGTATGGTGACATCATGTCAAGATCTCATTCAAGTCTCATCTCGTAGATAACGAGACTGATGCTACGACCTTCTGATATGACATAGGCGGTTTGTAATAAAACAATAAAACATGTATTACCACATTCATAGTGAAAAAATGTAGTACATCGAAAATGTACAGAAAATATAGTTATCGTAATCCGTCACATTTTTCTGAGTTGGAACGCCTATGCGAGAGTGAGATCGAAACGGGAACTTGGTATCATGTCACCGTAGTTGCAAACCCCAAGTAATGTACCTCTGATAATATTTAGTAAGTCATTTGGTCTCTATTTCATTTAGATAACTGGAAACATTATTAAATTATTCATTAAGTGATATGTTGAATTTATTTTTTAGTAAAAGACTATCTGTGAGTCATGTTCGTACTTTACAAATGGACGATGACGTACTGTGTGTGAAGTACACACCTGATCAGAGGTTATTAGCAGTGGCCTTATTGGATAACACTGTGAAGGTCTTCTTTACAGATACATTGAAGGTAAGTAAATAACATCGAATAAACGGCAAGGTAAATACTACGTCAAATCATGGTAAATGTGTACTGCGTGCGTGACTCGAACCGACGCTCGCGTACGGCACCTAATCGCCTAGCCACTAGACGTCTTCCCCTCGGCCACCGTGTATCCCCAAAAAAGGATGCTTAATAATCGAGCTTATTTCGTGCAGAGAACATGAAACCCATCCACGCGATCCGTGTCACACAGCGTGGCCAGATTGCAGCAAAGGCCTTTCAGACCTGGCTGTAGTAGGATGGTGAAAGTAATGGTACAGCATTATAACAGTGAATAAGTACTGAGAAACAATTGTAAACTCATAGTTGCTGTTGACATAGAAAGTAAAGTAAAGTAAGCTAATAACACCGAATAAACAGCAAGGTAAATACTATGTAAAATCATAGTAAACATGTACTGCGTGTGTGACTCGAACCATTATGAAATAATTAAGTCTGTGACATGATAATTCATCTCAATCAACAGTAGAAATTGAAGTCTTAATGATACCTTTGTACAATGTTATAGTGTAAACAGAATCTGATATACACCAAATACTTCCCTTTAAATACTATAGCTTCTGAAGACATTGATGTTTACTTAGTATTTACTATTCCTCAGAAAATTAATTGTGCCATATAATTATAACATATACAATAATTTTTTCCAGTTTTTTCTCTCGCTGTATGGTCACAAGTTACCCGTCTTAACACTGGATATATCATATGTAAGCATAGCTTTATCAGTAGCACATCTTTCAATGGTACATGTCAGTAAAAGTGTTTTAAAGTGCCACATTGTTGTCTTTGATAGGAACGCCATGCAATGTGTATAACATATGTAAAATACATTATCTGAATTTGCACTGCATGCTGACTGCAGCACTGCATGCTGACTGCAGCACTGCATGCTGACTGCAGCACTGCATGCTGACTGCAGCACTGCATATCGATTGCAGCACTGCATGCTGACTGCAGCACTGCATATCGACTGCAGCACTGCATACCGACTGCAGCACTGCATATCAATTGCAGCACTGCATATCGACTGCAGCACTACATACCGACTGCATCACTGCATATCAATTACAGCACTGCATATTGATTGCAGCACTGCATGCTGACTGCAGCACTGCATATCGACTGCAGCACTGCATACCGACTGCAGCACTGCAAATCAATTGCAGCACTGCATATCGACTGCAGCACTGCATACCGACTGCATCACTGCATACCGACTGCAGCACTGCATATCAATTACAGCACTGCATATCGACTGCAGCACTGCATACCGACTGCAGCACTGCATATCAATTACAGCACTGCATATCGATTGCAGCACTGCATACTGACTGCAGCACTGCATAATGACTGCAGCACTGCATACTGACTGCAGCACTGCATACTGACTGCAGCACTGCATATCAACTGCAGCACTGCATATCAACTGCAGCACAGCTTATCGATTCCAGCACTGCATATGACTGCAGCACTGCATACCAACTTGCAGCACTGCATACCGACTGCAGCACTGCATACCAGTTGTGTCAACTGTCGCACTTTAATCTTTTCACCATCGGCTCCCTCTTTTCATCACTAAACTGTCCACTGTCTGGAGTCTGCAGAATACTGCGACAAAAATAGCTAAATTTTTTGAGTAAAGTCTGAAAAATTTACTCAAATTTTGTCTGTCAGCTCTTAAATTAAGGTTCATTTGCATGTAACTCATATTAAATTAATTTTATGTTTATTTTGTCTGATTCTTATTTTTCAGGATAGTCAATTGTTAATTACCGGATCTGCTGACAGGAATATAAAACTCTGGGGTTTAGATTTCGGAGACTGCCATAAGTCAATCTTTGCGCATGATGACAGTATCATGTGTTTACAATTCGTACCAAAAACACATCTTTTTTTCTCTGGTGGCAAAGATAGAAAGATAAAACAATGGGACGGTGATAAATATGAACTCATACAAACTTTGGAGGTGAGTAGATTTTGTTAAATAAATAAAAATGATGGAAGGTTCATTAAAATGAAAACACATTCTTCAAAATCTCTCACAATTAAACCTGTTGATCCCTCTGAGCACTACGATCTTTCCCAACGATATTTAGGTGCAGCATTTTAATCATTTCTTTGTTAGTTTTGATTTTCTCAGACATTTTTGAACAAATGTATGCATTTTTATTTTGGGAAAGTTTACAAAAATTTTACTTTGGCGCTATTCAGAACATTTTAGAATTGCTTTACAATATAGATTGCTTTATAAAGTTATTCATTGGTATTAGAATATTCAAATTTTTACACTATGGTTTTATTTTATGTTGTTCACAAAACTTTTATATAAACATACGGTTGAAAAATTATGGAAATGCCAATGTTTGAGTCATTTAGCAATTGGTTCTTACGAGTTAAAGTTCTGGTCATATCTAAAATTATCGTTCAGGACATGTACAGTAGTGACGACATAGTATGTTGTTATAAAATGGGTAATTCTGATTGTCATATGTTATGAGATATTGGTGAATACTGTTTATTTTCCTATGCAAATTGTTTGGCATTTTGTGACTAAAATCATGATTTGTACCAGGTGATTTGACAAAAGGCTATATGGCATACATGTGTGTCCAAATCTATAATTAAGTAAAACTTCTAAAACAAAATAATGTGATATAATTTCACCCAATTTAATCGGTTGATATACCCGCAAATGACCTCAAAACCTTTCTAAAATGAATTTAATTCAAAACGAACACTTACTCCAAATACATTTTGTTAACTGGACCATTACTTATTGCATTCACAGTTATAATTCTGAACATGTTTTTGTTCTGACAAAAAAAAGTTAAAGCACTGATCACATTACAAGTTTACTACGTAACAGTATACTGTTCATACTTCCTTACAGGGCCACCATGGTGAAGTATGGTGTATTGCTGTCAGTCCATCGGGAGAACATGTGGTAAGAGTCAATGTCAAATTAAGAAAAATCTCTCTTTTATTTGCAATGATATTTACTAATTTATAATACTTGTATCTTGTGAATAGAAAATGACCCAATCTGCCATAATCAGTAAATGGCATATAGTTACTCGTTGGTTTCTTTCATTTCATTTTTTCTCATACACGCAGACTGCAAAAAATTAAAAGCAGTGATGTCACAAGTGTATAGGCTTTGTGTTGAAATCATTAGATAAAAACAATACCTATATTGCCTATCTTATTTACAAGTGTTTCAAAAGTTCAGCATTCTGTTTCAGGTTTCTGGGTCACATGACAAATCTATACGACTGTGGGAAAAAACGCAGGAAATTCTTGTACTGGAAGAAGAGAAAGAAATTGCCAGGGAAAAGGCATATGAAGAGTCTGTTGCCAAGGGTGATGAACCTGTGGTGAGAACACTTCATTATCGTTGTAATTTATTCAGCTTGGTCTGATTTCTTTCATCTTTGTTTTGACTTGAAGTCTGTGAACAAAATCAACATGTGCACACAGTGTACGTATCTTCGCAACATACTATGACCACTAGGATGTTTTGGTTTTTTTTGATTTTGTCAATTACTTTATCCAGTATGTCAGTAAATGCATTATAGACTTGCTTGAGATACATATTCACTTCTGAAGACAGTCACTTTAATGCAGACACCTTTGAAAATGTAGTTAACCAATCACTGCCAAGCTCTCTCTGTGAAGAATCATTTAATGTATACTTTTAGATTTGTTTTTAATAATCACAACTAATCCTACTTGTAGAATAGTAGTTCAACCAATCCCAACCCATTTTAGGGAGTAGGGGGTCAACCAATCACAGTCTATCTTACTTACTGTAGTGAAGTAGTTCAAGCAATCACAGTCTATCTTACTCGGAGAGGAGAAATTTGATAGGCTAGTATATTGATTCTCCTCTCTACAGGTTCCAGGAGAAGTAAGTGGAGGTGAAGTTGAGATGGCTGGTAAGAAGACGATAGAGACGGTGAAATCAGCCGAGAGAATTATGGAATCCATTGTACTGTATAATGATGAAACTCTTAAAATGCAAGAATATGAAGCTCAGTGTAAAGCAATGAAAAAAGAGGTTGGTTTTAAACTTCTTTTTTTAAGTTGATGCATAATTACAGTGCCCATCCTAGTACAGTTGTACACGTGTCAATGCATTATGTTTAAAAAGCACCTGCTAATAATGAACACCTTTTGCCGGTCCCGATGTAATTTACGTGTAAAGTGGCCCGTATTGAACAGGCAACCCAATGTGACCAAAAACTGTCATTTTGGCATTGGTTTGGTCTAACGGTATTTTGTAAGACCAAAATTATGTATTAAGCTTAGTGCATGTTTAGTGGTTAGTCTCCAGCTGCCATTTTTAATTTAAACAATCATATTTTCATTCATGCTCATTTTCATTAAATATGTTGACAAATTTCCTATTTCCACACACCATCATGTGAAGGCCATTGTATAAGTGGGTGGTTGTTATACATTTTGACTACCATATTAGGAATTTTGTGAAAAATGTAGTCAAAACAATTGTAAAAAAATTTTTTTTTTTTCAGCTTCCTCGTCCCGCAACTCATCCAATACTCATAGCGTATGGAAATATTTCTGTGAGTATTCTTACTTGATTTAATTTACAAGAGATTTTATTTTTCCATATTTCACAGTTTGTACACTGAAAATATTGCAGGGGTCTTCAAGCATCAAAAAGTCGTTGTGACCTCTTGAATATCTTGTTGAATTAATTTCTTTGTATTGCTGTGTTTGGTTTTCAGCCGTCAAAATATGTTTTAGACGTTCTAAAGAAAGTCAAATCAAGGTAAGAATCTGAATAACAGTTCAGTTTACTGTGAAACATGTTTTTTCCAGCTAGCATATTATTTAAGCTAATTTAGCAAATCTATAATTTCGCTAATTCAAGATGTCACTAATTTGATATAAAGTATATTTTCACAATAAGATTGTTGGCACATTAGCAAAATTAAGATTCTGTTAATTCATGCATTGAGTCAAATTCACGAGAATGACATATAGCTCAACATGTTTTATGCCATGTTGGAGGTACATGTATGTAATGAAAATCTTGAGTGTTAACTTGAATATCACTCTGAGCTTGAACCTGAGTGTGGAATCTTGTTTACAGCAGACGCTCTAAACAAAGTTGATTGCCAACTTTGAGCTCCAAATCACAGAATAAATAAATCATTTCCAACAGTGTCACCACTTAAAAAAACAGTATGCGAATTAAAGTCTCTCATTAGTTGGGAGAATAGATTGCATAAAGATGATAATCAGTGATTTAAACCAAAATGGTAAATCAATACCTTATAGCAAGAACTGAAAATGGTACTCATGAAATTACTAATGACACCCCATCGGTTTCCTGTGCATAAGAACATTGCCAGTGATGAGTATTTTGATTACGATATTTTCAACAAAAGTTTCATGTTAATAGTGGTCAGTTTCGTTCTAATGCAAAGGTATTCAAACATCACGTTCTAAAGCTACAAGTAGTTGTCCATTGACTTACCAGTTTGAATGCTGCACACTGAAACACACGTGAATGCACTTCTTGTGACCACAACATTTCCAGTCAAATTTTCAGTCAATATCTGACTATGATCGTATTGATTGACCAGCAAAACTTTGTTATGTCGCCCCATTTATATAGCCACCAGAGAAATCAACTCTTCACAAAAGCTGAACAGCATGAAAACACTTTCAAGAATTTGAATCTGAAGAAAAGTTCAATTTCTTATTAATTTGCCAAAAAATGGCAATACCTCTTGCTCAATACCTAAAATTTTCATTTGACTTGAAGCAGCAACACCATCATAACTCTATTACATAATTGGGTCACTATTAATACTGTATAAGTGTAATAGTTTAATTCATCAAAATATTTTTCGTAAAGTTTTTTGTTTTTCCCTCTTTTGTAGTTCTTAGTTATTTTTATTAATTAATGTTTGTATTGTATTTTATTTATTTTCGTATATTGTCATGTACCAATTTTCATCCATTCCGATGGATGTTATAATAAGTGATTAAAGATTATTATTATTGTCTATGTGTTAATGGTAGAGATCTAAAAAAGACCTCTAAAAGCACTATGATAATTTCAAAGCAATTAAATGTTGAACAGGGAACTGTTATTTTACATGTACTTATTCTATAACTTATCCATTTCTGTTCACAGTGAGCTAGAGAAGTCATTACTAGTTTTACCGTTTGATGTTGTCATTGATTTGTTGAAACTGTTAGATCACTTTATCAAATCTGGTTGGGAAGTTGAACTTTCATGTAGATGTCTTTTCTTTTTACTCCGGTAAGTAAATAGTATGGATGGTCATGTTTGTATAATACTTTCTGGAGCATACAATTCAATATTGACTGAAAAAAGAACCAAAAGAATTAAATTCTAAATTTCTAATACCTTATGTGCCGCTCCAAATAGACCTACTTTCATGTTATTTCAATCAGTTGTTGTTGGTACCAAAATCTAATTTTGTAACTTTACAGTGATAGGGCCTTTCCATAGTTGGTCTATATATGTTTATGGGGAAAAAAACAATTGCTATCAAGTATATCTGTAATTTTAACACAACTGTACAAGAGTGATTTCTGTGTCTGAAAGTGTATTATTGAACTCCTGTCAATATTTATATTTCTAACATTTGCATTTATTTGATTTTGCTGTCATGTGCTCTTGATCAAATATGTCTGCAAAAAGCGCATTACCGGTATAATTAGTATTTGACCCCATTGAAGATGATTGAAGTTTGCCCATTTTTTCATGGAAATGAGTTCTTACACATCTAGTAGGACTTTTCAGGGATAAAGCTAGTATAAGGAGTCAATTTCATTGCATAATATGTTCTTTTCAGGGATAAAGCTAGTATAAGGAGTCAATTTCATTGCATAATATGTTCTTTTCAGGGATAAAGCTAGTATAAGGAGTCAATTTCATTGCATAATATGTTCTTTTCAGGGATAAAGCTAGTATAAGGAGTCAATTTCATTGCATAATATGTTCTTTTCAAAATGTTTGTGCTACATTTTATACAATTTTTTGCAATATAATATTAAACGAAATTGACTCCATTTTCCATCGCCTTCATGTCTTGATTACAATTTGTGGAAAAAACTTTGCAAGAAGCATGACAATGCGAATGCGCATGCCCAATGTAACTAGGATACTGGGATGTCCAGGTGGATCAAAATAGCTGCTCACGATATGACGGATTACAAAAACTATATTTTCTGTACATTTTCGATTTATTACATTTTTTCTCTATGATAGCGGTGAGACATTGTTGTATGTCATGTCAGAACGTCGTAGCGTCAGTCTCGCTAATTACGAGACTTGAATGGGATCTTGACAAGATGTCACCATACGGTACTATGCACCTTGCAAACCCTAAGTATAAATATATATATATATATATTGGCAAAATTCATGAAAATCTTATATTTGATATGTAATAATTTATATTTGCGTTTGTTATAGGGTACATCATGGTCAAATAACGTCCGATCAGCTGTTACTACCAGTCATTGATAGCCTGCGACAGCACACCGTTAGCAAGGTCAACGAACTCCGGGTATGTATACAACACAGGTGGCGCTATTCAGCACAGACCTGTGTCTTATGACGCATAACTAGCCTCTGAAGGCTAAATATCAATCATCCACCATTTTAGTCAGCGTTTCTACCGCGGAACTATATACAAGTATTTTTTTCTTGTTTTGAACACATTCTCTCCTTATTTTTAGCAAGATTGAATATTTAATGAGTTGATCAATTAAAATAACGCACAACACTCATCAGCATGTCTTATCCTATTAACATTAAAATGCATGTAAATTGCGAGGTCAAAGGTCTGTTGTTTCTCAATATTGCATTGACAAGCAGATCGCCGCAAACCAATCAAATAGCGCCACCTGTGTTGGCACAATGTGGAAATAGTTCCGATCACTTTTCCCAGAGTTCCACGCGCGGTATGTGTCAGATCAGTTGGTTTGCGGCGATCTGCGTGTCAATGCAAGAACCCAAACATAAAAAATGACACAATTGTTGGCAGCGACTTTCTAGCTTTTTAGTCCCCGTTCGGACGAAGTCCGAAAACTGGGACTTATAATTCGGTCTCCGTCGTGCGTCCGTCTGGAGTCATATCTCAGAATCCTATGGACCGATTCTGTTCATTCTTTGCATGTGCCTAGTACTTTATGTGGGACATATGCACATGCAGTGGTTTAGCAATTCGATTCAAAATGGCCGACTGGCAGCCATCTTGTTTTTTGAAAATGTTGTATTTTGGACATGCTTTGTCAGTTTTCATTCAAACTTGGTACATAGATTATACATGTTAGGATACATGTCCATGACGATTTATTTCGCAATTGGATCAAAGACTGGCAGGCATCTTGTTTTTGTTTTTTTATGCAGTATCTTGGACGTACTCTGTCAGTTTTCATTCAAATTTGTACTTTATACATGTTAGGATGCATGTCCATGACAATTTGTTTCAAAATCTGGTCAAAGATGGCCGATTGACAGCCATCTGACTTTTTGGCCTTACTACTATAATATTTCCACAATTTATGTACGATTTTCATTCGTATTTGGCACATACATCATACATATCAGTGTGTTTCATAATCAGATTAAAGATGGCCGAATAACGGCTGTTTTTATTTTTGGTCATATTACTACTATACATGTTTTGATGTAAATAAACAATCTGTTGTATACGCCACTTGGAACTCAAGTTTCAATGACACGCTTGCGACAACCCCTCTGCTTTAATATGACGAGCACAAAGAGAACTTAACGGGGACTGTGTCATTTTCAATGACTTGTTAAAATTTGAATTATAACTATAAAATGTCTGCTGAAAGCCTCCACTATTTTACGGCATTGACAGGCGATATGTTAACGTTTTTACCACCTAACTTTCTCAACAAAATTTTTCTGCAATTTTTTCTTGTATTTTTCAATATATCTGGAAATGAACCCTAATTTTGGAGCCAACAGACACAATTTGAGTCATTTTCAGTTTTCACTCAAAAAAATTCATTATTTTTGTCCCAGCCTTCTGAAGGAAAGTGCAGACTATAAACAGGACTATTTTGTGAATTTGTGATAAAAAGAGGGAACTGGTGGTGAATTAATTAAGGAAATCTTCACTGCTACAATATTTCATAATTTTTGACTGCATAATTAAAAGTGGTTTAGAATAGTGGTCAGTATTTTATATAATTCCTAAAGGTTAATTTTACACACAAGTTATGCCCAAAGCCCAAGATTAACAATGGTTCAGTTCTCGTTGTTTGATGCCAATAATTTTCTGATTAGTCCTAAAAGTCATGTTATTTTTTTCTCTCCATATCTTGATAGGACACAATTGGTTACAACATGGCAGGTCTCAAGTACATACAGAGGGACATTGAATCAAAACAAGAAGTCCAGTTTTTCGCAGACGCCACAGATAGATTTCAAGAAAAGAAGCGGAAACAGAAAAAGAAGGAACGGGCCTTGTTAACAATGAGAACTTGAACAAAATAATTACAAATTAATAGAATTTTATTTGAATAATAATAAGATAATTCATTTCATACAAGAAGTTTGTAATACATGGTTTCTTCAAATTATGACGTTTCCATGACTTTAAACTACCGGTATGTTCTATATTGCATACATGTAATACTGTAGAATACTTTATTTTCGCTTGGAATTTATTTTCGCTGAAAGGATGATTCTGCGAATATATATTTTTTCCTATATTTCTATATAAACTCATCAAAAATCAGTAAAAATATATTCCATACAAAACGTCGAAAAAGCTTTTTTAGCGAAAATTAATTCCAGCGAAAATAAAGTATTCCACAGTATAGAAAATGTGCATTACAAAAGTTCACACAAAAATAAAAAAAATAATGTTAGGCCTTATTCGTAACAGGTCTACCACAACAGAAATGCAAGAGATACATTTTTTTTTAGTGATATACCGGTAATATTGCTCAAAACATCATTGATGAACATTAAAATTGAAAGATTCAGCAATCATTTATCTTGTACAGTGAGCAACTACCAGGGGGTAAAGTTAATTTACATAAACACATATGATCTATTAGTCTCTGTCAGTTTCTTATTAATAATTCATAATAACCATGGTTACTGTCTCTTCTTGAACTTCAGTGTGATTCCCATTGAAGGAGCCAACTCTACCATTTTGCCAAGTACCAAAGGTATCTGGGGAGCAAAAATACATATTAATTATATTGCTTTCATTGTTTCACTAAAACTTCTCAGGAATTACAAAAAAAATTGTATTACAGCATAACAAATTAGTGATTTTCCGTACAATTGCGAGATCTCGCGAGATGCATGAAAGACGCGCATCGAACGTCTGCCGCAAAAATCGAACGATTTGATTTTGAACTCGAATTTCTTTATTTCGTAGCTCACATCGACCGGCCGATCTTCGACAGAGGAATATTGCTTTCGAATACCCTCACTTAATTGAAATTGTCTATCATCAAATGTGTACAGCACATTATTAAGCATGGAAATGCCCCCAAAATATTTTCGCGTTTGTTGAATCCCACGCGATGTTTGACGCCACTACGACGCTATGACCTTTGTTTGTCCTGTTTTTACGTTCGATTTCACGCACAACGCGTGATTCTCGCAGTAAACGGAAAATGGTCTATTAACAAGTATGCTCTTTAAAAATAATATCCTTGTTTCTGGTCATCATGTTTATCACTGCATTTTATGTTTTGGATTGCATCTGTCATACATTTGACCAACTGGATGCTATTTATTTCCAACACTACCATTCAAAACAACTGTTTCCCAGGCATGCCTAGGACGATTTCTTTCAAACAAGGTATTGATATTACACATGTATGGATTTTGGAAAGAAGTCTGGTTATATAAATTTAGTAATATTCATACATATACAACACAATGGAGTTGCCCTACCTCTGTTTGTCCGCATGTTTCAAATGTAAACCTCTTTAAAATCTGAACCAGAGCCATTTTACATTCTGCAAGTGCAAACTGCATACCAATACAGCTTCTAGGGCCAACACCAAATGCTAAAAATGAACAAGATGGTCGCTTGGACTTCTGCTCAGCTGTGAATCTGTGTAAATAATAATATTTTAAATCGCTCTACTTTTGAAATTATATTTGATTTTACAAAAAATGAGTCCCATAATAAGAAAACAAGAAATAATATGCCGGGTTGTATGGCTTATATGTAACCTTTCAGATATGGGTTATGTTTACTTATGCATGTGTATTTAGTACAACAAATATCCTGGCTCTATATAGATGATAAAAATAATAAAAAGAAATCGACAAAAGATGCATGCCCTCATTAGTATACAGACATTTTATGTGGCAGTCTAGGGGGTCACATTGAGTCGTTTTAAGATGCAGGCTAGGGCATCAAATTAATTAAGAGGTTTTATGATCACAATAAGACATTTTATAACACAGACTAGGGGGGGGGGGTCACATTGAGACGTTTCTTAGGCAGACATTGCCAAAATGGGATATTCATTTTACCATGAAAAAACCTGTTCTAAACTAAAAGCTGTAGAAATCATTTTTGTGTAATATCATATATCTATTGAAAAATATACAGTACCTTTCTGGAATGAATTTATCAGGTTCTGGATAAATCTCAGAATCATGCTGAATCGCCCACACATTGATGGTAACTCCAATTCCTTTATGAATGGGAATGTCTTTAATTATGACGTCTTTTTCACATTCACGTTCCAAGCTGAGGAAAAAATGATAGGAATTAGTTTCCTTACTCTAGACTTGTATGTAATGATGATAGCATACATGTAGTGGTTGTTGTATCACACTGCTTAAATGTAAATCTAAGTTTAATTTACATCCTACTACATTAGGGAAACATCAAAAAGGAAGAGGGCAAAGCGACGGCTGAGACTCATTCACCAACAGAATAATGTTGGTTAAGTTTTGCAGGGGCTCAACCAGGTCTACTGGTAGCGACCTTTAAATTATCGTTTAATTTTAAATTTACATATGGTACAAAAATCATATGTTATGAAGTTGCTGTATCCAAAGAGAAAGTATTAAATGTGTGAAACTCTCCAAAAATAAATGACTAGGTTGAAAAATACCTGCAATCTAACCAAAATGCCCTAAGAGTGACTGATATACATTTTGACAGTTCGATTTTGTAAAGTTTAGGTTTTTTAATTAATGTTTGAATACAATTCACACATACTTACAAGACAGCAGGTGGGTACATTCTAAGGCTTTCAGAAATTACCATGTCCAAATATGGCATGTCATTTAGTGCATCATAGGTCACACGACCATGCATAGCAACCACTTTGTCAATTTGTTGTATCAGTTTCTGTTGTACCTCTGAGTTGGTTGCTAAGAGGTATGATGTGAATCCCAGGCAGGTACTTATGGTGTCGTATGATTCGAGAAAAAATGTCAATGACTAAAAAAAAATATATATATTTTGGAATTATTGTACACACATATTTATCACAGCAACCAAACATTAGACTTTCAAGTTAATATGGGAACATGAATTTATGAAGTGCATTGTAGGTGACAGTATTTTCCCTTATCACTAAGATGCATTGTGGGTAATATTGAGCGGACAAGTAAAGCTTACATTAGCCATAATTTCATCGATAGCCATACCTTGGTAACAGTATTTTCCCTTATCACTAAGATGCATTGTGGGTAATATTGAGCGGACAAGTAAAGCTTACATTAGCCATAATTTCATCGTTAGCCATACCTTGGTAACAGTATTTTCCCTTATCACTAAGATGCATTGTGGGTAATATTGAGAGGATAAGTAAAGCTTACATTAGCCATAATTTCATCGTTAGCCATACCTTGGTAACAGTATTTTCCCTTATCACTAAGATGCATTGTGGGTAATATTGAGCGAACAAGTAAAGCTTACATTAGCCATAATTTCATCGTTAGCCATACCTTGGTAACAGTATTTTCCCTTATCACTAAGATGCATTGTGGGTAATATTGAGCGAACAAGTAAAGCTTACATTAGCCGTAATTTCATCGTTAGCCATACCTTGGTAACAATTTGTTTGCCTTATCACTAAGATGCATTGTGGGTAATATTGAGAGAATAAGTAAAGCTTACATTAGCAGTAATTTCATCGTTAGCCATACCATGGTAACGGTATTTTTCCTTATCACTATCACCACTGCTGGTTTTATGTGCATTCAACATAAAATGTACAAAGTCTTTTCTCTGAAAGGTTAGACACAAATCATTGAATATATAGGAGCTGATGAAATTAAAAACAAGAGATTAATACTGTAGTTCTAGTGTTAAAATTAAATGAACTTTTTAATTTTTTGACAACCAACATTTTTAATACCAAATTTTTTGAAGGAGCATTTTGCACATTTTTATAGAATTTTTTAATTTAAAAAAAAAAAAAACACAGTTCTTTATTTTCAAACATCATTCAGAAAAGAACTAAAAAAAATGATACAAAAATTCAGTTTTCATTGTTTAACTAATAGGGACTTACTGGCCTTTCTTCTTTTTTTCGAACATCAATAATCTTTGCAGTTTCATTGAAGAAAAAGTTTGTAACTTTCCTTGAGAAGACAGAATAATTAAATATGTCTAGCATTCTACCAACAAAGGGAAAGAATACTGGAAACAAAGCAAAAACAATATTTTATTTGATATTGGTGCCATATGAAGTATACAATGTGTGTATATAAATGCACTGTTTATGTTTACACATGTTTATATTTAACTAGTGCCGTTTAACTACAATGCCGAGACACCATTTCTGGATCTACGGTGTACTGTTTGAATACATCATCATTATCTGTATATTCAATCAAGTTGATCAGTCACATCAGTACCATACACAGTGGCCAGCCAGGCTTGTTTATTACTAAATTGCTAAAATTAAACAACTACAAAACCTGCAATGTTTAAGCGGTTATAATAGAACTATAGTTATGCATGGAGATGATCAAAAACTACCATAACTACAAACTTGACATTGAAACTTATAAATATCCTATTATAATAGTGGTTGTCATGATTACAATCTCTTGCTAAAAACTGTAAGTTGTAGTCTCAGAACATCATTCAGTGTGTTACAGGTCAAATGTGGATAAATATAAAAACGTCACTTTCAATGCATTACTTTGTTTGAGATTTTTGATTTAATTTGATTAAATTATTTTAACACCGGATGTTACAAATATGTCTGTCGTTTAGTAATTTAGTTTTTGTTCAAACGAGTTGTGATTAATGAATTACATTATGTAATGCTTAGTGACATAATTTGTGAACTATGCGAGTACATATTTATAATGATCTACCGGGTAAACCATGAGTATTTTTGCTTGTCATCAATTAGTTATACAATACAAAAACTAAGTTTAAAAAAAAAATGAACAGTAGCTTTGCCCAGCAAAGGATACATTTACTTACAACTCATGAATAGCCATGGATCCATTTTACTAAATGTCAACACCATCTTCGCATTTCGTACAAATTCATTGTTAGGATCATTCAGTGAGTCTATTTCTACTCCAAATGCACAGCTAGCAATACAATCCATTGCATATGCACCAAATATACTAAGTGATAAATAAATCAAGATTAAAGATGTTTGAGTCAAATTTGACACTTCTGCATATGAGCAGTTTGTCTTTGTTTTGCAACAATTCAAAATTCCCAATTACCTAGTTTCTTTCTCCATTTCTCTCTAATTTTCATTCTGTGAACAAATGCAGTATATCTTCTAATTTTGTTCAGATTGTGAAAATTATAATTTTGGATAATATTTTCAAGGTTTAAAATCCATCAATTCGTATAGAGGTATTAATGTTGGTCTTTCAGAGCATTATAAACAAGGCTAGTGGGGCCATTGTTTATAATATACTCTGGTACAGTATTTAACTGTCTTCCATTGAATATAAAGGTAAGCAAACAATTTCCATTCTGCACCTAATGTTGATTTTTACTGTTGATGTTGAGCAGTTTGACAAAGCTGTAAACAAGGTTTTTCAGATCTGAGAAAAAAAATTACTTGCATCAAGGAGCCATTATGTTTAATGGACATACCAAGTTTGAATGAAATATATCCATGTATGACTGAGATCTGGTTCTGAATTGCAGAATTGCTTGATTTTTGATGAATATTTAGCACTACAATGGTCGCCAATTGGCCATGTTGATTATGAAACAAATGCAGTATGATATGATATGTGTGTGAAGTTTGAATAAAATCTGCCTAGGCATTTGTGAGATTCCATGCGGACAGACACACACACACAGACAGACAGACAGAGGTGAAATTATATTCCCCGTTTTCAGACCATATCCAAACTAATAATGTAAAAATCTTCAAAAAAAATGTTGTTTTACCCTTTAACCTCAATTGCCTGATTACTTTCACAAAGTTTGGAGCAATTTTTCACCATAGTTTCAGCACATTTGTTGAGTAAAGGAACCATCTATAAACAAATAGAGGGAAATAATTTTGTTAATTTTGGAACAAACAGACTCTCTGATTATATAGCTACAGGTCTGAATAACAATTTTGTCAAAATATGGAAAACATGATGCACAAATGGTTAGAATAGTCTTGACCTTGAATATTATACTGACCTCCTTCAGCTTTTCTGATGTGAATGTCGGTGATAATAAATTTCTAGCATGGCGCCAATTTTCATTCCTGCTTAATTTTATACCTTTATCAAGTGGTCTTTGTGTGACCGTCGGTTTCTGATGGGAAAAAAAAAAATTATATATACCGTAGAAGACTTTATTTTAGCTGAAATTAATTTTCTCTGAAAAGGCATTTTGGCTGTTATGTATGGAATTTATTTTCACTGATTTTTGACAAGATGAATGTAAAATATAGGAAAAAATGTATATTCGCTGGATTTTATTTTCACTGAATCATTCCTTCAGCGAAAATAGCGAAAATTAATTCCAAGCGAAAATAGTATTTTACAGTATATGATTTACCAAGGCCAGGGAACAATGACAGATTGATTGATTTGATACTGACTGACTGAACTGACATATTGGATCAACCTGACCAAATGGTTAACATATGTTGCCCAAAAATTATTCTTTCTCTGGCTATCACACAAGGACAAATAGATATCTGAGCAAGGACAAATATATGCTGTTAACTGAACATTAAGGCAGTTCACATCCAGATTGTACATTCAGTAGGTATTACTTCTGTTTGTTTTTTATGATATATGATGTGAATCCACTGTGCTGAAAACAAAATATGACAGTTGCTCTTTGGCACAACTCATGCCATTTCTTTATCATTGATGTACGTTGAGCTGCAAATGAACCAAGTTGGATTGGCATCTTGTTTACAACTGCTACCTTGTTCACATGCATAAAGTATCCATGTAACTTCTCCCAAAGTGACGTCATTTTAGGAAAAGTTTAAGAGCTTTTGGCTTCTTTTTCTTACACTAATGCAACAAAGTATGTTGGCATAACTGCAAGTAACCACAGATTGTCTAATTATGTACACAAAATTTAAATGTATGTGGTACATGTGATCTAATTATCACGACTTACTTTTCTGTTTCGGAACTGGTTGAAATTGTCAATCAATACCTGCTTAGCAAAATCTGGATCAGAAACATCTAGGGTAGGTGTACGGCCGGAATACATACTGAAAATTAAAAACAAAAGCATTATCTTCAACTGAGGTTGCATTGTGCTGGAATATATCACTCATCACAAATAATAACTTGATGGGCAGTAAAAACATACGGGGGAAAATATTAAAAAGGTGTTCCTTATATTTTCTGAGATATCTACAGAATACAGAGGTTTAAATTAAAATTTTAAATTGCTCGTTCATTGGAAAGATTGGTGACTAAACGGACCTGTCCTTAGCAAGATAAATTATGACATATTATTTAAAATACAATTTTAATTATTGGCTCATCATTTGATTTTCAAAATTCTGAAAGCAATTTTCTGGATATTAGCAACTTTGGACTACCCCATTTGGTCAGTTAGTAAAACTAATATCTTTTTCAACTCCCCACTGGGACAGGCAATTTGTACTTTAACCTGTCCCAGCTAAAATCCGCCTGGGTAAGGTGAACAGGCCTCAATTTTAACCCATGGAATATATAAGCAACATTTTCCACTTTTCATAATTAAATTTGTAAATTTAATTATTCTATTCTATATTCAAAGTTTTATAAGCAATAGTTTCAGTACTTTTTCAGACTGGAAAAATATGCGTGTAACAAATGAGAAAAAAATTTTTGAATACAGAAATTATTCTTTGAATCTTTCCTCTCTCTTAGAGACTGATTCAAATATAACCAGACAACATGTCTGACCAACACTTTAAAAACAAAATTTCTGTTGTTTCTAATCTGTAAGATTAAGCCTATACAATCTGTGCTGATGTGTTATAGTACTTCAAATTAATCTGACTGTATGAGCGAATTTTTTCACGATCATGAAATTTCTAAAAATAATTAAAAAATTTTTTATTTTTTCAGAACACCAATATTTCAATTATAATCCTTCATATAATTAAACCTGCATTATTTTTCCATATCTTTTTTTTTTAAATTTTGACAATTTAGTAAAAAATTCAGGGGTCCAAGGACATACATGTATGTGGTTTGGAAAAACACAACGGTGTATTGTCACTATGGTAATGGGTATAAAAAAAAAAGATATACAGTGTATAAGGTAAAAAAATTTCCATACCCGAATACTTTTCCATATTTTTTTATCCATTCTTGATGAACCAAGCGTGGGCTTCCTCCCTGTAATAATGAAAACCATTTAGCACCAACTTCATAGATGTAAACCTACCGGTATATATATACTGGTATACGTTGGTGTTAACTGCATATTTTGAAGGGCACACTGTTTAAATTAGCATTAGCTAAATTTTTTGCAAATTTTATAATCTATGTACACCAAGCCAAAGTATGAGATCCCCCAAATGGTTCAAAGGTTAAATTATACATTAAATTATTAATACCTAATAGTTATTATTTTGCCAAATCATTTAAATTAATTTTTCTGGCAAAATAAAAAAAAAAATAGGTGCACCATTTTGCAGATGCAATATGAAATGAACATTCACACAAACACCCCCCCCCCCCTTTTCCAATCTGATTAAAATCTGATGTAGTGTACGGGCTTTAATTATTTTGGCTATAAACTTATTTTAATTTTATTACTTTTGTTATTAATGCCTTTTTATTTTATTATTTTACTTTGATTTTCATTTTGTGATTTTTTTTAATTCCGCCCTACATACATCTGATCCGACGCCTATGCAAGTCCCGTTCAAATCTCGCGTAAGTAACAGCCAATCACAGCCCCCCCTTTTATACAGGCTGTCGGTTGCTTACTTTTCAGTGTAGCGATACTCTACGGGCAATCTTTCTGTACATTATATTTTGCCCACTTGAATAAACCATTAATAGAAAATTGCTAGTATATTTTTATTTACAAAAGAAATTCCACGGCATTTTACAATTTTTGCCATTACATTGAATATTTTTTTCACTTCCAACAAATGTGTACACTTCCTGATACATCTTCGCCAGCCAAGGTTCGTTCATTCAGTCATCGCTTCAATTTTACATCAAACACTGAGCATAATTATCTAGAATGGAAGCAAAAACATAAGTAAATTGTAATGATTAGAACACTGTAAACAGCTATAGTAAACAATGCAAACTGATTTTAAATTGTAATAACGGTCACTGGCCCACGGCATCGACACAAGAAAATTGGAGCCAAAAAATATTTCTTGATCAATTGCGATGTGTTCCAAATAAAAAATATTTTATTCCAGTTGAAATCAGCTCAATTACTTTAATAAAGAGTTATTGTATAATGTACAAAATGTTGATACATTTTGATGAATATTTACAGCTACGGCTTCAATACCGTAGATGATTTTGTCCCGATCGTCAACAAAACATCACCCGTCTTCAGGGCAAGCGACTGAAAAAAGACACCGGTGTTCGGTCGAACCGGTGGAAACAAAATCGTCACTCCCAGAATAACTACGCAAAATAACGATCTAAACTCGAACCATTCGATCCACAATATAAACATAAAAAAATGACTTTCGTTGCATTTGACAATGATAAACTTACCGAAAAGCCGTGTTTTTCTCGGTCGCTGAACGTCGGTATAATCCGCCATTTTATTTGAGTGTGTTTGCCACCTTACTCTGCCCGGTGACGTCATCATGTGCGCTATAGAAGGAGGTCTGTGATTCGTTGACTAAAATCGTCGACAGTGGGTCTCGTTGAAATCTAGTTACATAGGCATCGGGTCAGATGTATGTAGGGTGGAATTTAGAAAAATGACAAAATGGAAATCAAAGTAAAATAATAAAATAAAAAGGCATTAATAACAAAAGTAATAAAAAATAAAATTAAAATAAGTTTATAGCCAAAATAATTAAAGCCTGTAACACTACATCAGATTGCCCCTTTTCCAACACCAAATTGAATAACTACCGGGTAATAACATTCCTGGGCATTAAGTGTTAATGATCGAGGTTCCTTTTTTTCACAAATTTTGTAGAAAAAATAGAATGTTGAAATATACTCACTCCAAATATTTGTAAGAAATTGCCAACAACTGGTGAAGGAGATGGCCCTGGTACACCAAGCTCTTTCCAGTGAGAGTACGGCCAGTTCGCCCATCTATTTTTAAAAATTAAAAATAGTGTATAAACTATTACAAACTTGCTATTGATAATCTAGATATTAACATAACAAATCAGATTTGATCATAACCATTGGTTAATATCCTAACTGTCAGTTAAGATAGAAACCCACTTTTTGAGAAAGTTGGTCATAAATCACATAACAATGTTCATTTTGATTCATGCCGCCATGAAATAACATTCTTTTGTGTCATACAGTGATGTATTAACTTGTACTAATTTAAAATTTTTAAAATCTAGAACAATTCCATAGAACAGAATGTTAAAGATAAATTGTATTTTTAAAACCCAGGAAAACCACTCATTCACGATATATAATTTTTTCAGCCTATGTCACCACCATACAATTTAAGATATGGCATAATATCTCTGCCATAGATAAAAGTGTTATCCTCGGGGGCGGACATCCGGGCATTTTCACCGCCTGGCAACCCGCGGCGGTGAAAACAAAGGCCCAAAACTCGCAGAAAACGGTACTTTGGGATGATTGTTGAGACTCCTCTGAACAGTGTAACAAGATTAGCCCTACGTGTGTAACATATATAAATTTGGTTGTTTGGGATTACTTCAAAGTTGAGTTTGTGTTGTTTTCTCGAATTTTCACCGGCTCGACCGGCGTTCCACAGCAGCGCGCACAGAGCCCGTAGAAATGCATGTACAGTGGTGCGCGTCGTAGCAACGTGGAACGTCTTGTGACGTAGCTCCGCCCCCGAGGATAATACTGACAAAATGGCCACTACCCACTAAAATACAACCATTTTCAACCATTATTTTCTTGAAAATTAGGCTGGTAATCCACCCCTAACATGCAACATTTATTATAATTTCAGAGTATGCAATTTCTCTAGTTCGATGCTATATTTTCAACGATTGCTGGTCAATAAAGTGATTTGTTTGGCTTGACATCACTGAATGTTTAATGATGTCAAGTATGATTATTCAACTACTTTTTCATTGCATTTTTTACAAAGTCTATTTGATTTCAAATAATTGTCATTGATTCTAAACTTTGTCACAATTCTCCTCATGTTATGGTCTTTATTTTCATTAAGGTATTTTTTCATTCCAAAATCTGTTTTGATGTGTTCTTAATTTGTTTCCCTCCTTTCAATTATTTTGACAAACAGTGACCTCTGAACTGTAGGCATTAATTCTAACCAATTGATATGAAAGCTAGCCCCTCTCTAAAAAGACCCCCTCAAAACCAAGATGTGCACAACCCCATCCCATCTCAGAACACTTAGTCAGGTTGCTGAAAACAGTCCACCAAAGAGTGCAAATTCACAGGGTAATTGTTGAACACTGATTTTATTGTGTATTGACATCTACATAGGGCAAGTGTGTCTAATAAATGTATTCTGTTTTCGTCTCACGTAACGAGAACAGCAGAATGTACAATTCTGCGCTTGATGGCAGCACTCCCACTGATCTCATTGACAAACAGAAACATGTGCTTCGTTTTCTGGAAATCGTTTGCTAAATGCAAAAACAAATCTGACAGACGTCGGTCCAAGGTGCATATACAATAAGTACATCAAAACAATCGGACTAGTAGCCGTGG